ATGTCTACCAAGCACGGTACAGCAATCCATACTTATCAAGGGTGATGTCAATGTGGTCAAGAAGGCAATAGTAGAGGCCATCACTCATTGTTGGGAACTTCTTGACCCAAAGGTTTTTGATACTTTAGCTGGATCAATGGTGGATAGAATAGAGGCAATTATTAAGGCTGATGGATGGTATACCAAATATTAATTTCTACTATGTATTTACATCTTTTAATTTTTTTTTTTGGTTTTCATAATAGTGGATTGGTGGGTCAGTGTGGTTGTCATCGCCGAAGATTTTCCTCTGTTGAATCGCGGTTAATTTTGTCCACGCACAATATGTAGAGAAATGCAACCCGGCTGTGGGATATAATGCCTACCGCTCCGGCGCTGCTTGGCTTTGCCTCACGTTTATGTGTTTGTATTTTTTCTTTTTTTTTTTTTTTTTTTTTTTTTAAAAAAAGAACCAGGGTAGGAGGAATGTGTGTACTTTACGCTCCAACTCTAGCAAAAAAGCCAAAAAAGTTCTAAAAAAAAAAAAAAAAAAAACAATAATAATAATTGTCATCTGAGGAAGGACTAGACAAGCCCGGGCAAGTATGATACCGAGTAGAGGTGGATTCGACAGCGATGTCTATAATCAAACCGATATCGCAGAATCGTGATGATATTATTCACGCGATATATCGGCCCATCAGTAAGCATTTTCCCGGTTATGAGTCGACTCCCTCCTCCCGCCTGGTGGTGGTGTGGTTCTGCAGAACCTCCTTCCTTGCCTATGATTACGGCTTCTCTCTCTCTCCCACCTTGTCGGAATAAAAAACTGGCTGGGATTTTCGGGCGGATTTGTTGCGTTTGGGGCGGAGGGATGTGTGGTATGGTACTTCTCAAATTTGGTATGCAATATTGGGAGTGTCGCATTGCTCGTTTTGTCCGTCTCTTTTATCGTACCAGTATGATAATTCGCCGTCGATTGTGGATTCGTGGGTTGGCTTATGACATCAATGGTGGAAGAAATACTCGCAGTGAAATACCCATGGCTCTGGTTGGTGTATATAGGGTTTTAGGTTGAGGTTGGTTTAGGGAGAGCAGTGATAGAGCTCAGTATCGTAGATTTTCATAGCTAAGAGGTAGTTTTACACTATTTTTAACTCGCGTTCACTTCTAACTTTGGATTGGCGAGAACCGTTGGTCACTGGGCATCACTCGTGTCACAGTTAGTATGCTTTGGGCTTCTACCGGGAAATATCCGGCAAATCCCTGTTAGCATCGAAACTCCCTGGATAGGGGGTGGGGTTGGTAGATCTTGCCCTTGTAACGGCCTACAATGGTGGCGATGCGATTTTTCATGACAGTAGAGAGGGTGACTCCATCCCCGATATTCGAGACTCATAAAGGAAGCGAAGAGTGCAGGACTATATTTTCGGGAATAAGTACATGTCTTGAAGCTATTGAACGGAGGAGTAATACCCAATGTGTGCCCACGAACCAGCTTGCTATCGCTGGCAGCAAAGTTTACCAATTGGTCTGGGTAAATAAAGCTAAAGTTGAAGCTTTCACGGGATGCTGGCCTGTATATAAGCACTTATTGTCCCATCAATCATGTGAGATCTGCGCTCATGCTCGGGGGATCCCATTTCATACCGTTCTCGGGAGAAACGGGTCCGGAGTCGGCCTTAATAATTGCCTGCACTTTCCTGTCGGAGAGCTTTGGGGTCTGCGCAAGGGCCAAAGTAGATATTTCCCTTTGCTTTGATATTGGGATCAAGGAGAGCCATGACAGCTGAGGGGGCAAGATTTTAGAAGCGGAGTATCATGTCTTTATACACGAGATTCTCCTGAAAATTGCTAACCAAATTTGGTTCGTATATTGCAGACAAAGAGGGTCTGGAGCAGCCACATAGCTGCTCAAGCTGGAGTTCAGTTCACGGCAGGACAGCCTTGACAACACTCCCCCATTGCGTGGTATGATATTACAGGAATTTCTCTTGGATTCTCGGCAATTATTTCTGATAAGCTCCAGGTAGACATCCACTCTGCCCAGCCAGTTACAGTGTTTAAGTTCGCATTCTGAATGGGCTTCTCCTTTACGGGTGGGCTTTGCTCTTGAAATTAGCCTCAAGAAAGTCGTTGGCAGGGGTTCACCCCACTATAAGGAACGCCGAGTATCATACTAGATATGTCCTGACCCATGAACACGGCACAGGGGATGGGAGCGCCGCACTACAGAATACTGAGAAGCCAGCGTTCCGGGAGTCAGGGGCAAACCTCCCGTACGCCTTTTTTTACCGGTTGAAGGCTTCCCACTGCCGGGAAAATAACGGATTCCCACCGGGATTTTCAGGCAGAATTACCCCACCAATCCAACCTTGTTTTTCGTCGATGGAAAGAAACCTGGGATCAGGGGCTATCCCATAAACGGCGAGGTATCCACCGAATCCTGGATGGATCTTCGGAATGGGTAGCTGCGCCCATAGCGGGATTCGAGATACGCTATTCGGGTAGAGAGCATGCTCAGAGATTTTGCTAGGGATAGCTGTGGGTTCCCTCATACTTGTGCGTTCCTTGGTCATAAATCGTGGGAGAGATGATATGGACTAAGACTATAAAAAAATTCAGGGTCTAATGAAGCTTTTCTCTTGCATTTTTTTATCTCTGCCCCCGCCATTCCTCACGGGTTTGATGGATATTTGTTGTGGGACGCCTTGGAGTCCACAGGTCCAGGCTCGATCCTACTAGTAGAGGGTTTTAAAATCCTTATCCGGAACCACAGGGTTACGGAGGCCTCCCTGACACCAGCTAGAACAAACCAATCATAACCCCCCAGCCGACCCTATTAGTTGATGTCTTGTGCAGTACACTGAAAAGCTTCAGGCGGTAATCCTGGCCCTTGGGTGAGATGGTTCTCTATCAGCGCCTTCTAGAGTGCCGAGTGAGTAAATATGACCGCTCTATTGAGAAACCTGGTCATGTTGTCTCATGCAGCAGACCAGACTCCTATATACAACGGAACAGCACATCTCGGATACGCTGCCGACCGGGGCGAATCGGCCCATTGAATATGAAAATGGTGAAAATTGCGGATGAGGTGATGCCAATATCACCTTTGTGCTCTGGCATACTGACATCCAGTTATTCTAAGGACTCGAATTCCCTGTAAAACAGATCTAACACAACCTATGAGGCCGGCGATTTCTGTACACGCTTAAGATTCAAGTATCTGGTTAGGCTTCTGCACTCTGAGAGAGTTGATATCTCTGGCGCTGTTCCTGCAAAACCCGACTTCAAAGCCCTTGAGAGGAGCAAGGTCAGAAATCCATAAAACTTGACGATCCGGTTAAATAGAAGACAAGTAATCATAGTTTACTCTCCCTTCGAAAACAGGCCGAGTCCATGCAGTACTTTCCTAAGTGCAGATGAGTTCTACCGGTAGCTCACAGGGGCGCAGGCTCCCATATAACCACGAACAATCTCATCTTGATAGGTAATCCTGACAAACTACCGGTATAATTTCTGTAATTAACCCTACTTTTCCCAATCCGCCAATGAGCTAATTCATGCCCTGCGTATGGATGATTATTTTTTGATCTCATACTCAAAAGCTGGAGCATGGAATTGAATGTTGTGCCCTTTCCCGCTTCCCGACCCGTTATTATTGCAGCGAATCAGGGTGGCTTCCCCAATCACGCTGGAATACTGAACTTCGGAAGAAGCACAGCCATTAGAGAATTATGAAACAAACCACAATACCGTACACACTCCCTTGCAACTAGAACATTCGATCCAGGAACGAAAACCCCTTCACCCACAGAATTCAGAAACCTACTGTACGATTGTAAAGCAATACCCCCGACCAGACGACGCCCCAACGAAAGAGATGCCCGCGGGGATTCCTTTTATTTCCCCCTTTCGGTAGCGAGTTTCGCTCTCCCATAAAATGAATACGCCATACAGGTAGTGAAGGTGTAAAATATCATGGGACTAGGGGTTGATACCCGGGGGACATTTAGAGAACTAGGATCTTCGGCGGGATCGCTATCGGGAGTACCCCCCCCCCAGGGATACATTGGAGGTGGGCTGACATCTAGGAGATTCGAACGTTTGTATCGGGATCCTACAACGAACGTAGCCTAATTCCACAACGTCGTCGTAAATCTAGGACAAACTATCGTTAAAAGCTGTTGGGTGAATTTCAGCAAACAAAGAACGTCTAGTTGGAGAAGGGATACGTGGAAGGGGGGTATAGGTATACTGCTTGGATTGCGGAGCTTTGTTATAGATGCTCATGCTAGAAATCCATGGCTCCAATAATTTCCCTCTATACCCCTATTATTCGCGGACCTAGCTCCTGAGGCCTCTCAATCACAGCTCAGCACTCGATTATCCCTCCCCAAAAGTTCCTACCAGTCAAGCTTAAGACGGGGGTTCAATTCGTTATTTCTTCATCCTACATTGATAACTCACTGTCATGCCAGGGGAGCTGGAGAAGCTCAAATATTGATCGCCTGATGTAACCAGATTCGGTGCTTGTTTCGAATGATATAGTAAGCAGTTACAATACCCGATTGTAGGTAAGGTGCTTTACTCGCCCATTCCTAAAGTATGTATCAGAGACGGGGCCGCCAAGACTTGTAGACCTAGATGTGGCTTTCAGAGGTTGGGCGTGCAGACTTCCGGATCGTTAGAAATGGGCAATTACGGTAAGGTTTAAGTATCAAAGCTACATTATCCGATGACATGTGGGAGTAGGGTGACCGAGGTGTCCCCGGGGAGCTGGATTGGGTAACTTATACTTTCCGTGATAGGTAAGGCTGCGTCACACCTATGGAAGGGGCAATCAAAGTGACAGGGTCTGTTTCGAAAAAATGGTCTCCATTTCAAGCTCCGCGAACGCCCCTACATCAGAGTGCTGTAAAAAAAAAGGTCTACCAATGTTTAACTACGGGGAACATCTGTATTTTCCCAATCCCCCAATCACATAATCACCGGTCGAAAGCATTGTTCAATGGAGGTGGGACAGCCGGGCCCTTAGGGGTAACATAGGCCTAGATTTCGATCTCAGAAAATTCTTGGGATGTAAAGTTAGGTTGGGATTTAAATACCTTAGTCATTCCTCCGTCCACCACCATTTCCTGCCCAGTTACAAAGCTGCTCTCGTCGCTTGCTAGAAACACCACCATATGTGCTTGTTCGATTGCTTCCCCGAAACGGCCCATGGGGAAGTGAATTTCACGGCGAGCACGCTTTGCTTGATCTGCTCCGAGGAAATCCTGAAGGACTACAGTACCGATTTAGCTAAACCACACTCCAATCAAGTACGCGCATAGCGTTGAATTCCAGTAAATTTTAAAACTTACGTGGCGTGTTAAGAGGGGCAGGGCACAGAGAATTGAAACGGAACCCTATGAGATAATAGAAATTAGTTTCGAGTGGCTCGGCGATTAACCTGTATGAAAACTGACCCTCCCGAGCATGAACCATAGCTAATTCACGAGTAAGCGCCAAAACTGCACCTTTAGAGGCAGTATATGCAACTTGGGCCGTGGCACTCCCAACTAGGGCCACGACGGATGCGGTGTTAATGATAGACCCCTTGGTCTTCTTGTGCTTGCGGAACGACAAGACGGCATGTTTGCAACCGTACCAAACACCTTTGACCTAAGGTATCCTTGAGTCTCAATTCTTTGAATTAGACAGGAGCGTAACAAACATTGATTTTATGGGTGAGGTCCCAAACATCCTCGCTGGTGGAGATAGCATCACCGTCCTATAACGGGGTCAGTCGTGGTCCTGATGGACTTTTTCCCTTCCCCAATCCTAGGTGTATTTGACGGACATCATTGTGCATGATACCAGCGTTGTTAAATATCACATCAACACCACCCCATTCATCGGCTTCTGCAACCAGTGCTTTCACGTTTTCCTCGTTGCTAACATCACATTTCTAGAATTCCCAATCTTAGCCATGGGGGTCAACACTCGAGGAGTGGACTCTGACATACGAATATCTTGAACTTAGCGCCTGGAATTAATGCCTCAACCTTTCTCTTAGCTGCCTGAAGTCCCACATCATTAAGATCAGCAAGAATGACAGAGCCTCCATTCTGAGCAAAGAGAATAGCAGTCTCGAGTCCGATACCACTGTTTGCATCCACCAAGTTAGCTCGAGTAATAACCAAAATCAGACGAAGGTGTACGATACCCAGCAGCACCTGTGACAATACAGGCCTTGCCCTCAAGCCTCCCGGCACTAGTAGACATTTTCTTCGGGGATTTTCCAATGTTTGATGTGATGGTTTTTGACAGATTGGGAGGGGGGAGCGAGGGTTAGTAGATGGAAGGAGCTCTTAGCGGTGAGTTGGGATGAGGTGGGAGCGGGGGTTGGCTTGCGCAAGATTCCGAGGTCCTAGTGTCTTTGATCGGCCCTTACCAATTAAGGTCGTAGTGGGTGAACGGGAGGGGACGCCGCGGTAAGAAATTCCTAAAGCTGCATGGGTTGCAGTGGTTATCGTGAATTTTGTTCTCGTGCCCAATAAAATAAATGTACCCATAGTAAATGGGTCAGATTACAACCCGAATCACGATAGCGTCGACGGTAGCTGCCCACCAGCCAGGAGTCATTTTGGTGAAGATATTTCGGGGGCAGGCCGAGATTACCCGGTCTAGATGATAGGGTACCGATATGGGAGTCATGGAGATATTATTTGAAGTTACAGGCGATCGATGGTGGTGTAAGTTAGTGCGTTATGCCGGGTCGCATGTTGCAATGGACTACACTTATAGTAATGTATCCTGGATGGAGCTCGGTTTCTCTGATGTTGCCAAGTTAATGCTGGGGCTTGTGTATACGGGACTTGGCAACCCATAAAGTATTCGGGTGCTTTGCGCCAAGACAAGCACTAATAATTCCAAAGTGTCCGAACATTTTATTGATGGCCAAGGATTTATGTAGGTTATACTGTTGCGATGGGTGGGAGAGTGTAGTCTAGCTCCCACCTGACCGCAGTGCATATGACGCGTGCAGCGGGGTTTTCTCCATAAGCCACTGACGAGTATTTATCGCTTACGGTCCCACAGTTTCATGCGGATTTGCCGAGAGTTACGGGAGGTGTAGGGTAGCCCATACCGGCGAATCTCCCAGGTAACCGAGCATCCCATGCATTTTATCATCCCTTCTTACTCGTCAAACCATCTGAAGTGTTTCTGTGGCTACGACAAATAGCAAGCTCAAGCCCATCTGCCAAATCCCATAATGGCTGCTCCATATACCCTTGAGTCTATCACTGCTGCCCTGAGCGGGGACGATAAAGTGAAACTTGCCGGGGTTGATGTGGATGGAATTCACCGAGGTAGGGCCTATCCCAAGTGGTTCGGTTAGGTCAAGCTAACATATCCTTTTTTCCTCTCTGCAAGGGAAACTGATTTCAAAAAAGAAGTTTCTTTCCATCGCCGAGTCTGGATTCGGTTTCTGTTCTGTCATATTTGGTTGGGATATGCACGATAGATCGTACTTTCGTGAACTTGGCATCTCAAACTCTGCGAATGGATACCGGGATTTGCTCGCAAAAGTTGATTTCCAGAGTTTCCGGAGAATACCATGGGAAGATCAGAGAGGTGTTCCATTCTTTCTGATTAGTTTTTATGATCCGGATACCAAGGAGCCTATTGCACCATGCCCCCGAGGGCTGTTGTTTAATGTAGCGAGAAAATTTGAGGAGAAAGGGTGGAGTGCAATGGCTGGAGGTTTGTTATTCGATATTCCACGAGGGCTTCCAGAACCACCGCAAGTGGGAGGTTTGCTATCCGGTGAGGCTAAAGTCTTTCTATTCTAGCGGAATATGAGTTCTTTAATTTTAGAGAAGACCCCCATAGCCTTGTAGCAAACAAAGGGTCCACGTTAGAACATATGACGCCGGGAATGTTTGGCTACTCTTTAACAAGACCTGTGCAGAACCAAGATTTCTATTACGGAGTTTTCAACGCTTGTATGTTTCTACTCTTGGCATTCATACTAGTAGAGTCGGTGGAATGGGGCTCCCACGACATTATTAAATTTAAAAATTAACCCGCATCCACTGAGAATAAACAGGCAAGAACTTTAGAGTCGATATAGAGGGTTGGCATACCGAATCTGGCCCAGGGGTTTACGAAGCTGCACTAGAATTCGGGGAGGTCAAAGAGACGGCAGATAGGGCGGGACTATTTAAGTATACTTGGACTCACTAATAGTATGCGCGCAGTTCTGACTTCTCTTGGTCTTAATAGGTACGTTGTAAAGTCCCTTGGCTCACAATATGGAATAACTCCCTGCTTCATGGCAAAACCTAAGGAGGGCTTACCAGGGAATTCAGGACATATGCACAGTACGTCATATACCATGAACAGCTCTCCTCTTTCCCGAATTGTTTGTTTGGTCTAATCGTCTCTCTTTAGTATCACTTGTTGATAGTGATGGCAACAATCTCTTTGCTCGTTCTGAGTGTGATCCTGAAGCTGGCCGTGACCTAGCATATCTTTCGGATATTGGACGCCACTTTCTCGCTGGGGTCCTCGAAGGACTTCCATCCATAATGCCCCTCTTGGCACCCACAGTCAACTCTTACAAACGCCTTGTGGAGAACTTTTGGGCGCCGGTAACAGTGTCATGGGGGCTAGAACACCGGGCAGCTTCGATCCGGCTCATCTCGCCATCGCTTGCGTCTCCCAAAGCCACACGTTTTGAAATCCGTACTTGTGGAGCCGATGCCAATCCATATTACGTGCTGGCTGCAGTCCTTTCAACAGGACTACGTGGAGTGGAAAAAAAGCTGGAGATACCGGTATCCCCGTTGGGTGTTGGCGAGGAGACTGGTGGTGGTGAGCGCCTCGCACGGAACCTGATGGAGGCTGTGAAAAAAATGGCAGCGAAAGGGAGTGTGGCCAGAGAGGTCTTTGGTGATGCGTTCGTGGATCACTACACGGGGACAAGAGAACATGAGTGGAGGCTGTGGGAGGAAGCTGTTACTGATTGGGAAATCAGGAGATATATTGAAACGGTTTGAGGGGCATAAACATACTGCTGATTCATGGTTCATGATGTCTTTTATTTATCCTTGTCTCGAGGTTTAATATACATATAGCCTCTTTGTCATTTGTCAGGTAGCGAGTGTCATGAGACGGGATTTGTCACTTTTCTTAGCGTTTCGATCCAGTCTGTCGATAATCCTATTATAAATCCATCGCGGTTGCAGTCTTTCCAAAATTCTCTTTCAGTTCACTTCTCTCTTGTGGGTTGGATTCAGGTTGAGCTAAGCTGCATTAGTCTGATAGCTTGCGCCTAACCTGCGGGTGCATTACGCATGTGTGATCCATATCACCGGCTTCTATGTCTCGCCGGAGGCCGCTTGAGCGAAGCTATCCTACAAACCGTCAAAAATAGTAGTTCTTGCGATTACAACTTACAGCACAGCACCCGAGTATCATACTCAAAACCACATACAAGCCACCCACCAGCACTTGCACAGCCTCTGGCAGGACTCGACCCACAAAGTGGCGCCAGTGCGGCGCAGAAAGTATCCAACCCACCGCGAAAGCAGGTTATCAGGCGGGCCAGGCGCAGTGGGTGTTGGAAAGACTATATTCCCCCTGATCCCGTAAAAAATCTCAATGATATGGGTACAAGTGCTAAGCTATAAGTTATTCTCCAATTTCTGCTGGGAGCTGAGGAGTGTGATATGATTACTTGGGCACGGATTGAGAAAAAAGGCACGGACGGCAAGTATCATACTGTACAACGTCCGTTGCACCATAACTTGGTTTGCTCACAAGTATTATAACTTACAGCACCCAACCTTTGTGGCTGGAGGTCGAGTGCTATCATATGGTTAACTATTAGTAAATCCGTTGGGGCTCGTTTCTCTTCAGGGACCGAACTAGCCCCTCCCACCGTGGCCTCTTCCCCTATGATACTTTCACTCTCCCCACCCCGCTATTTCACTGGTGGATGGGGTCGTACGGCGCTGTGATCTCTTTGATCCCCCTTCCTTTAACTTGGACGATGGCACCCATCTTACTTTTCTTTGATACTTTTTTCTGGTAGTTAGGAAAAAGCTCGGTTATCGCTGAGTAGTAGCAGGCTTTTGGTAAGCCGTCTCGAGGTGTTCCTTCGCCCCCCCCCCCTCCGATCTCGCAAGGCGTACTATTGGAGCGTTGGGAGTTCGGCAACATTCACGTTGCGTCTGCTGGTAGGGTCTTGTAGTCTCTCCATACCTGCTAGGGCATATCTTCTCGTGGGTTTTCCGTTCCGTTGGCATGTTTCATGTTATCAAATTGATCGCGGGGCATGGGAGACTCATGAGTAACGTGAAAAGCCAGCTTGTTAGGTTTCCCCGACACTCCATCCATACTCACGTCTGTAGCGGTGGTGGCTATTGGGTGTTTACTAAGCATGATACCATACTATCCGTGAAGTCTCGCTATTTATGGTAACTGGTCCCCTATTGTATGCACGGCCTTTACATAGTGATTCACTGTCGGCTCGAGAAATCTTGTATATTGTATACTTCTCTCCTTCCATCTGAACAATACTCTATATACAATTTATCTATCGTTGAGGGGGGGTAAGGAAAGGAAGGAAGAAGCTGTACGAGAAGAAAAAAGAAAAAAACTTATACCTAGAGAAAAATTGGATAATAGTATTATTATGAGGGGATGAAAGCTATAAGTTATAAACTGGACTTTGTCGCAACAATAGAACTATTTACACCCATGGACCAAGCACTTCTGTGCTTTGTGAAGAGAAGCTCACAAGTCCTCGCTCGATTGTGAAAGGAAATAGCTAGGGGGGTTCGCGGAGTTATAATATGATGGTGGTGGCAGGTATGTGCATTCACACCATGGGATTTCCCCCGGGTTCAATGGATAGTGTACAATGACAGCTCGTGTGAGCGACATGCTCTGGGAGGGGTAGAATGGAGACGAGTTCCATGTGGTGGTGTCTCCCAAGCCTCAAGAGTGCTGGCGGTTACCGCCTATGGGACTGTAACAGCGCTACAATGATCTTGTGGCCTAGAGCAGTAGAGAGCGAGAGCGGTGTTATGCCGCAATTACATGGCTTGTCGGGGTTGACCTCTTCCGGCGCGAGTAGTATTTTCACCCCTTCATGTCCAGACCAAGCGGCAAGCGAGAGCGGTGTTGCGCCGCCGTTATCTGTCTTGTCGGGGTTGAATTCTTCTCGCCCGAGTAGTACTTTCACCACTGCTTCATGTCCATTCCAAGCGGCAAGCGAGAGCGGTGTTCTACCGTTACTATCTGGCTTTTCGGGGCTGACCTCCTCCAGCCCGAGTAGTATTTTCACCACTCCTTCACGTCCAGATCGAGCAGCAAGCGAGAGCGGTGTTCGGCCGTCATTATCTGTCTTGTCGGGGTTGACCTCTTCTCGCCCGAGTAGTACTTTCACCACTGCTTCATGTCCATTCCAAGCGGCAAGCGAGAGCGGTGTTCTACCGTTACCATCTGACTTGTCAGGGTTGACTTCTTCGCACCCGAGTAGTGTTTTCACCACTCCTTTATGTCCATACCAAGCGGCGAGCGAGAGGGGTGTTCGGCCGCCATTATCTGGCTTATCGGGGTTGATGCCTTCGCGCCCAAGTGGCGTTTTCACCACCCCGTCATGTCCATTATGAGCAGCCCATGCAAGTGGTGTGCAACCTGAGAAATCTCCTTCATTGATATCATAACCTTCCATTTCTATCAAAGCAGATACAAGCTCAACAATTCCGAAGAATGATGCGCAGTGTAGTCCGCTGAACGGGGAACAGCTAGCAAAATCCGGAATAAACAAATGGTTTACTTGTTTTAAAAGCAATTTAGTAGATATGTGGCCATCACACTCCTGAAATAGCTCAAGCGCAAGTAATCTTGCGCAGTCTGAGAGCTCCTTCTTCGCATGCACTCCCCGGTATACGGAACAATATTCTAGAAAAGGTGAGTTCCGAGTGTTGGGAAAGCGACCGGCCGAAAGTGCCTTGACCTGCTGGTGATTCAGAAAGGTCAAGCAGATTTCCGCGATTGTCGAATGAGGCCTAGTGAAAATATTGGGATGAGCCGAAGGATACTCTTGTAGAGTAAAGTGGATCAGTCGCACAGTTGATGCCTCCTTATCCACAGTGATGAGACCTTGACAGGAGCTCACCAACGTCGACATCGAAGGGATATTCTTAGTATTGAAATCCGTGGAGCCTAGCTCGACTGCTAGGGCATGGCAGAGCTCATTTGCTTGAAACGGTCTTTCCGCGTGACTTATCCATAACAAAGCCGCCATTCCGAGTCTCGATTTGTCCCCACTCTGGGCCTTTATCCGTTCAATCGTTGCGCCATAAGCATCTCCCAATCCCAATCCGTCTGTCATTCTGCTAAGCCTTTCTCGCCTCCGATGGATTGTCGATTCTTGTAAGATTGCATCGATATTTAAGGAAACTAGTAGGAACCTAGATATATCTATTAGCGGACAATGTGGGGTTGGGCTCTCAGTAGAATTACCCTTACGTACATTTCCGATATACCCTGCGAAATCTTCTCCAGAATTTCCGCCTCCAGACTCTCGTCCATGGCATCTGGCGTTTCATCCTCACCTAGTCTAGCATGGAGGTATCTAATCATGTCCCCCTTCCTGGGACCTACAGGTACACTAATCACCCATCTAGAAAGGCGCTTTTCGATCTCGGCCTGGATATGGGGCCTCCCGGTCACGAATATTCGAGTGCTCGGGGACTGGTCGAGGATTAGTTGCAGCGAGTCGAGGATCTTGACTCGCTGCACTGGTGCACATTCGTCCAGTGCATCGATGCAAATAAATATGGGTGTGACGAAGTGAAGGTCTGTAGCATCTTCACGATATCGGGAAGTTGCGGTCCCCGCCCACCAATAGCCTTTTTCTGCTCTTGAAAGGCTAGTGATATTTCCTCCGGAATCGCTTCCATTCCGCTAACAATCTGTTTAAGCAAGGAACCCAGCATATTCGTCGCAGACTGCTCCTTTCGAGCCGCGAAGTCGAAGTAAAAGCACGTGACGGTGGTGTTTTGTCCCCTAGCCCGATCGCATAGCCTATCCGCTACCAGCGAACTGATATTGGAGCTTGTCAGCACTGGTTTTGTTTCTTCTTGTCCCCCCTAGAATAATCCTTGTTACCTGGTGAATGTCTTGCCCGCTCCGGGATCTCCATAACAAAACAAGACTGCCCTATCATCTTCACCTTCGCTACTCTGGTCATACCAGTTTGTGAATTCCTCACTCAGTATGAGCCACTCCCCCACACCGTCGACACGTCGCTCTTGGACGTCCCGCTGTCGTAACCTAGGTTCTAGCGGTGATAGCCAGTTTAGGAGTTGGGACGGATCATCGGCAACAGTATAGTTATTCGACACATTAAAAGAGTTCGTATTATTGGAGCAGCTATTATCATTGATGGTATATTGAGACATCTTCCGCTCTTTGGTGTTGTGGAGGAGCTATTGAATATGTTTGACGATATTCCTAAAAAGTTAGCGAAAAGCGGGGCTTAGGTGAAGAAAGCCGCAGATGCCACAAAAGAAAGTCCAATTAAGCCAGCCACCTGAAATTTGTGAAGCCAATATCCTTCTTGTGGCTCCTGGGTGAGGCGTCACAGGCATACGCCTCTCGACCTCACGGCCTGTTTGGCAACGATGCGACCTTCCCGTTTTGCGACCATTTCTTATAGTCTAAATTAAAATCAGTCCTCCTTCCCCTTTGAAACGGTCATAAACTGTCATTATGTATGAGGCAACAGAATGGAACGGTCGTATCCAAAACAGGGCCTTAACCTATCACGCGAATGTCGCACAGTACTCTACTTGTACAGTACAGTACCAGTACCTACAATCCGCCATCTGCGAGCCTTCCAGTACCAGCAGCGGAGGAAGCCCAAATATTGGCAGATCTATTAAAGAGCTACGGAAATCTAGGTAGCTGATACAGTAAAACCAATTCCTAGTAGAAACCACGAACATCGTCTGTGGCGATAGTGCAGTTGGCTTCCCTTGAA